AATTCCTCAAGAAGGATGTGGGTGTGGGTGTGGGTGGGTGTGGGTGTTGGTGTGGGCGTGCGTGGGTGTGGGTGTGGGTGGGTGGGTGTGGGTGTGGGTGGGTGGGTGTGGGTGTGGGTGTGCGTGGGTGTGGGTGTGGGTGTGGGTGTGGGCGTGCGTGGGTGTGGGTGTGGGTGAATGGCTGGGTGGCTCAGGGTGGGTGTGCGGTGTTAGTGGGGGTGTTGGTGTTGGTGCGTGTTGTGGTGTGTGTGAGTGTGAGTGTGAGTCTTCTTCTTATTCACAACCCACACTCTAAGAAAAATCCGTCGTGTAGGAAACCCTTAATGGGTTTCCGAACTTGTTACTATCGGAAACCTTTTAAGGGTTTCCGAGAAAAGGTTTCCGAGCACTCGGAAACCCTACATTAGCATATTTTACTACCACAACACACCAACCATCGGAAACGCATTAACTGTTTCCGAGCAGGTTCCAGAACAAGTAGATACCTTACTTCGGTCAATTAAAATAACCCTTACATGAGCCACGAAAGCCCTCACACTCTCAGCCCACGCATGAATATTAATGCAATTTCATTACAGACCTAAATAAAGAAAAAAGGATCAGATTGAATTTTATTGAAATCAATTGTCTTACCAGAAATTGTAATCGATATTCATATAGACCTAAATAAACAAAAAGAAATTAACTTTAGGTTTATATAAATCAGTTGACTTACCAGAATTATTGATGGACACTCATATAGACCTAAATGAAGAAAAAACAATCAGATTTACTTTTATTGAAATCAGTTGACTTACCAAAATTATCAATGGACATTCATATACACCTAAATAAACATAAAAAACTAGATTTATAAGGTTGATATAAATCAGTTGACTTACTCGACATCTTAATGGATACTCATATACACCTAAATAAAGAAAAAAGAATTAGCTTTAAGTTTATATAAATCAGTTGACTTACCAGAATTAGTAATGGATATTCGTATAGATCTGAATAGACAAAAACAAATTAGATTTGAGTTTATATGAATCAATTGACTTACCTGACATTTTAATGGATATTCTTATAGACCTAAATAAAGAAAAAAGAATTAGCTTGAAGTTTATATAAATCAGTTGACTTACCAGAATTAATAGTCGACATTCATGTAGACCTAAATCAGGGGTGGCATTTCTCATTTTTTAAATGGGTTTACAAAAGTCAAAATGGGGTACATTTGGGGTACATTCCAATTTAAAAAGGGGTACATCAATGGGGTGCATGATTTTACTCCTGAAGTAAAGTATTTAATTGAGAAACCTGCTGAAACGACACTGCTTTTGTAGAGAACAGAATCATATTTCACTGTTGTTTTTCAATTAGATAGGCTTAACTGTTTACACTGTTTCAATTAGCTTTGTGTTAATTGATTGTTGAGTTTGAAATTGGAAAATAACATTATAAATAGACAACGAAGATTACCATCAAATTCATTAAAGAGAAAATCTGCAATTAGAGATATATCTAATAGAATATGTATTTGCCAAATAAAAAAGAAAAATTAATGAAACACGGAGAAATCAGATAAGGAGAAATGTTTAAGTCTCATTTCGGTGTTTATAACGATAATAGTATGAACAACCAAGTATTTCAATCCGACACTGAACAAAGCAGATGTAGAAATCTATCGCTCATTTGTTAACTGATACTCTTTTAGATAGATAGAAGTGAAAAGACTAGTGGGAAAACACACTTTCTTTACCTTGATATGGTGTTTTATCACATTCCAGACTTAAAAATCGAAATGGGGTACAAAATATGTACCCCTGGGGTACGAAATTTTCTGGGGAACAAAATGTCGAAATGGGGTATTGTACCCCAAAATGGGTACGGTTGGCAGCCCTGACCTAAATAAAGAAAAATAAATTAGATTTAAGTTTATATAAATCAATTGACTTACCCGACATTTTAATGGATATTCATATACACCTAAATAAACAAAAAGAAATTAGTTTTAAGTTTATATAAATCAGTTGACTTACCAGAATTAGTAATGGACATTCATATAGACCTAAATAAAGAAAAAAAAATAGATTTAAGTTTATTTTTATTGAAAGCTATGAACTGCACATATATAATCAAACATGTTGCATGAAAGCTCTAAGTGCTTTCGATTCTCTAAGAATTCCAGAAATGAAGAACAGAACCATGACCCAAACATGAATTTGAAACGCGAACTTTCTGCATTGGAAAAATTGTTGTGCTCTAAAACGCTTCAGAGACTCATTGTGAAAGTTTCCAAGCCTAGAAAGTGTGCAGTAGTTAAGTGAAGTTGGAAAGCTGATTTCTGTTTTTCACTATACCTTTTCGAATTTCAGAAATTTCAGAAACCGTTTAGGTTTCCGAGAAAGCCATTCGAAAACGCTTTTGGTTTCCGAGAAAGTGATTCGGAAACCGAAAGGATATTCTCGAGTACCACTTAGGGTTTTCGAGCTTTCGAAATCTCTTTAGGTTTCCGAGAAAGTAGTTCGGAAACTCTTTTTGTTTTCAAGAAAGTGATTCGGAAACCAAAAAGGTATTCTCGGGTACGAGTTAGGGTTTCCGAGCTTTCGGAAACTCTTGAGGTTTCCGAGATAGTGATTCGGAAACCGATAAGGTATTCTCGGATACCTCTTTAGATACCCAAACAACTTTTAGGACAGAATTGGTTTCCTAAAATACCCAACAGGTTTCCGAAAATACTCATTTGGTTTGCGCCAATGATGAAAAGGTATTCTAGAATACCCTACGCGCATCGAATTCGGTACTCTCGAAAACCAAAAGGTTTCCGAAACCTCGGGAACCAATAAGGTATTTTCGAAAACGATTTCAATGATCGGAAACCCTTTCGGAAACCAAAAAAGGTTTTCGAAAGGGTTTCCGAACTGATTTTAGTTTCCTAGGAGACGGAAATTTTTTAGAGTGTAGTTATGAGTAAGTCAAATCTCACTGAATAAGGCATAGGTTGACTCTCTTTTTCAAAATACATGCATTTAGAACTTTTCTTTTTAGCTATTATATTCATGGAAACATGAATAGTCATGCACTCTCAGCATCGCGCACCTCACACCGATATAATCTATCATGCTCATACGTTCATAAATGTCCACAGTTATCTCCTTCGAATAAGAAGCCCGTTTTATGACAGAATTTGTGTGTATACTCCTATATCTACCAGTATTTTTCCTTATTCTAGAAGGTGCAACATGTATACACGAAACAACTATTATACGCTACTACAAGAATGTCCACCTGGTTTTGAGAGACATGTTTTACATCAATACACCATATATATAAGTGAGACTGACAAAAATTGTTGGGTTTGGGTGTGGTGTAGTGATGATTACGTCGGTACTAACAAAATCGATATAGTATTATATGTATGCAAAAAGCGCGACGATACACCAATAGAATACTCAGTGAACTTGAAAAGTCCTCAGGACTATTTATTTGGAGGCTTTTTTACAAATCAAAAAGTAAACCCCACAACAGATACGTTTTCATGTCCGAAACCATTTCGAGCAGTGATTGTTGCCAATGATGTTCGTGTATGTCTGGTCGAAAGAGCTATCATTACCAACAAATTACCCATGTTTGGCGGATTCTATTCGTGCAATTATGCGAATGTTGAATTAAAAAGTAATGAGTCAGAATGTTTAGAGGGTTATACTTCATATGCAATCGGTATTATCGAAGGAGACTGTGTGTTATCTGTATGTATGCAATTACAAAGATTCAGTCACAAATCAATGCCCCTGATTGTTTTGCCGCCATTTTTCTCGATTAGTAATCTGAATGGAACTGTAAGCTTTGGGGATGGTACCTTATATAATCAATATCAAACAACAACAGCAGCGTCATCTGTAGCAGCAAAAAACAACAAAGCCATATTAGGCATATCCATTACTGCTTTGCTGACAACCTTACTAACAATTGTCATCATTATTTATTTCCGCGTAAAAAAGGCAAGAAAAGCTCGCTCTACTGGCCATTTTCACTTAAATGAACCTCGTTATAAAAAATCCGAAGATTTATAGAAAGCCAATCCCATTCAAGCAATGTATAACAGGAAACTTCAATAAACAAGCAAAACGAGAAAAAATGTATTGTGGGTGTGGGTGGCTGTGGCGTGTTGGTGTGGGGTTTGAGTGTGGGTGTGGGTGTGAGG